AAGCATCCTATCAAACTTAGAACCATTCAACTCTCTTTACAGTGCAAAGTTTTGCACAGCGTCATTGCCCACATAATTCTTCCTAGGAAAGTTCACCATAATGAGGTTACTCATTTTGATCTTTTCATTCTTGACTCTTCCTTAGTCGAGTGTAAATTAGATTTTCCAACTATCGTAATTGGTTACATGAAAATCGTTCATTCCGTTACTCGCATCAAGGACTTACCTTATGGCATGCTCCTCACCAAAATCTTTAAGCATTTTGATGTATCTTTGAATGGTGATGTTTCCATTTTACTTCGCCCCCTATCGACACAATCAATATTCAAACTCATAAATGAATGAAAATTGTCAAAGAGTATGAGCAATGGGTGACCCGAACCAAAGGTTTTGATAGGGAGTCGGGTCCCCCAAATATTCCTTTTGAAGGTGATGAAGATGCAGTTGATGATGATCACGACCACGATGATGTGCCACTCCCTCCTAGCCCTTCTCATGACATCCCGAGCTCAAGGGTTCCTCCTTTTACCTCCAATTTCACATTCATTGAGGATTACTACATTCTTTTTAATGGGTGTATTGACTCTCTTACCACTTCAATCGATAGACTTGCTGAGATGCTTCATGAAGTTCTTGCTCAACTATACGCTCTCAATGCTCAGTAAAGTGCACTCAATGCTTGTCTCGACACACTCTTTCCCCCTCCGCCTCCTTTGGAGCACTAGATGTTATTAGCATTTTCCTATTATTATGTATTATGGAACCATTTTTATGGTCCTTAAACTTCGTTATGCTTTTGACATTTCATCACTTATGTTTTGATATGCTATGAATGTGATGTTTACTCTCTTGCTCTTACATATATTTGGCATAATGTGTTTAATTAAGGGAAATATTATTATTTCCTATGATTGTGTTAAGCTTTTGATCGTATATGCTCCACTCTTGCTCTCTTATACGCTATCTTTTTGCTTGTGCCAAAAAAGGGAAAATGCATGATATGATATGCTTTAAATGATTATAAGTGAGATGATAGATGATATGCTTTGAATATCAAATGACATACTTTAATTCATATATATACTTTGAATGAATGACTATTGGTTTGTAAACGATAGGGGGGATATATGCAATACATATTAAATTCGAGATTTTTATTATTTATCAATTGTTGTTATTACCTTGCAAATTATCTTGTTTGTCATAATAAAAAGGGGGAAATTTGTTGACCTATTGTTGACTTTAACTTATTGTTTTGATCATAACAAATAAATCGATCTCATTTTTCTAACAATTGAGTTTAAGTTATTATATTCGTCAAATCATTTAATGATAAGTTGATCAATCATCGCCAAAGATCATAATCAGACTATCATATTACAAATCGGACTCACAATGAAGGTCAAGATCGAAGTTAAGTATTCAAGTTAAACTCTTCGAGACTAGAGCTTAAAAATAAAACTTCAATGAAAGATCATAGACTTGACCTTTTTGCTCAAATGTAAATGTACTAATACTTTGATTTTTAGCAATGAATGATTAAAACTCTAAAACGATTTTATGCACTAAAAGTTATTTTAATAATCACTTGCGTAAAACGTTTTGATCAAAGTAAGATATATTTTAAAATTGATATTTGAACTTAGATTATATTTTTAGTATCACTTACCTTGAAAAACTAGTTGAAAACATTTTCCGAAAGTTAACATTTTTCAAAACATTCCAATAGAAACAAACGAAGCCAAAACAAGGAAATTCCATGAAGGCGAATGATTGACCATCGGCGGACGTCCAGATTTCTCAATGGTTAAAATTTTTAACAATTCTGATTTCTGGCGCGTAACAACTAGTTTGAACGTTCGAACTTGAGGTGGACGTCCAGACCTCTTCCCTTCTCCTAGAAAATTTTGCTCTTTGTCCTCTATAAGTAGCATATCTTTTTCATTCATTTCAAGAGTCTTTGAGTGCATTAAAGTGAGAAGTTCTGGAGCAAAATCATTTGAGCTTACATTATATTTATTTCATCTACTTATTCAAATTGAAAAATTGATTGAGTGAATGAAATTTTGAAATCATCATATTCATTCAAAATTTTCTTCATCTTTAGAAGACATCTAATGGGCCCATATTAAAGCTGAAGACCTATTCGGGGTCAAGGTTGAACTTATCCAAAAAATGGCGATCCTTGATCCAATGGGATATTGGATGGGGCAGGGAGCTAAGGCCCTCGACAATTTGCGTACTGCGATGGGGAACTCTCCTTACAATAATTATATGAAATTATAACTGCCTTGAATGAGGGCGGAGTTCAATCCAAAACTTTTACTGATTTGAAAAGCTGAATTGGTAGTAACGATTAGTGATGGGGCAAAAATAGGAGGCATGACAAAGGAAATAGCCCTTAGTGAAATCTGGGATCTGGGTCAGATTCTTTGGCTCACTTTTTTGACTTTGTCAATCTCCCTTAGTGACAAGTTTGTATCCCTTGCTCGAACCGGGCTTTAGTCTTTGATTGTCATCCTGGAACCAATGGTTAGAAGGGCCAACTATGTATCAAAATTGAAGCCAAGAAGCTTTTTATATGGCGTTATTGTTTGTTATCAATAACCAACCTACATTACTTCTAAATCACAAGTCTCTATGAAATCCTACATGGTGCTCCACTAGCACTTTAACTAGCAATTGTGAAAACGTGGGATTTATGCGTTCCATAGAAATAGGTGGACAATTTGTGCCCCGCAAAACCATGGGAATATTAACTCAAAGCCCTTCCTTCTACTTGATAGTTCCAAGGCGCACTGAAATATATAAATCCTAAGTCATAGGGGACATTTCTTTGTAAGGGCGCACAAGAGTTTCTTGTTGTATTGTTTGCGTTTACCTAAGTAAAGATTAAAAAGAATGCATTGCATTCCATGTGAGGTGTCCAAGAGAAAAGGATACTTATCTAAAATATTAGCTATTATTTATTGATATTCATTAAAGTGTTAACCTCTCTTGGTATTTAATTCATTAGAACGTGTCGGTGATTTACAGTGTTTCCAGGAGGTTTAGTATGAATTAGCACATTGTAATAAACAATAAGAGATACAAATAGTTCAATACTTGGTGCTATCTTTTTCACATTCTTGTTTTGTCTTATGTTGTTATCTATTCACATATATCAGATATACCTGGATTATAACATAAAAAATTAATTAATTAATCTCAAAAGAGAAAATTAATATATCTACTCTCTCTTAAAAGAAGGTTTGAGAGAAACATTATTCATTCATGTTTTCTCCTCACAATTTACTGTTACATGTGCGGACAAAAAAAATGACAATTTTGATGGTTCTCACAAGCGCAATTATTGACTATTGACCGAGGGAAAGTGATGGTATTTCTACTCTCTCTAGTCATTTGCTTTCTGCCAGTTTTCACACTATAAAATCATCTGGTTTGGCTACAGTGGACAATCTCCTTTAAACTAAGTGCAGTAACGCGATTTCTTCTCTGACCACAAATCCCCAAAATCTACCTCCATTATTATTGTTCAACTTACCTCGACAACAACAAAGAAGACCCATTGCACTCTCATATCTTCAAACTCGACTCAAAGTTTTGAAGGACGGAACTGCTTGAAGCATAACTGTCTTTGTGCTTGTTGCTGTTAATTTCCTGCGGGTTTTTTTCTTCTACGAGCATTTAACGGAGTGAAGGTTGATCCACTTGAAGCACTTTCTTTTCTCCTAAAGTTCCAGCGATTGGATTCGTTACGGTTAGTTACGGTCAATATTAGGCAAGTTTTCAATGGGGGTGCATACACATACGTCTACTAAAGTAAAATTTTCATAGATGTATCTGTTGGGAATTTACTTAA